TCAGTTCTCACACGAGACCACTTTAGGAATAATGTGACAAAAAAGACAACATTTAATGGCAAATACATTCAAAAAGTTGTACTAACCATTTATGAAAATTTAATAATCGGACAGTCCATAGTATATATGATTATTCGTTCAAATATGAACTAATAGTTTGACAGAATTTGAGCAACGAGGAGATAAATAACAGTGAATGTGAAATTGTTTGAATAATTGAAATGTGAAAACTTCTAACGTTTTCTCCAATAATGTGGTACGAGCTTCTTCAGGAAAATATAGTTGATATTAATATTATCAAAAAATATATAAGTAAATAACAAAATCAATCCTGAAGCTTATTCTACTATGGTTATTTTGTTTATAATAAGGTTGAGACAACTGTAAACAGTTTAGTTTCGTCTGCTTTTGATTGTAAATGTATGTTACCCAACTGAAGAAAGCGAATATTACTTACTAATACCTACCAAAAATCTATATCCTTTCACTCTTGAAGCTTTTTAACCCGTATGCGATATTATTTCTACACGGTATAACTGTGGTTTATATATTTGATCATTTCAAGTCAAAGTTTAAATTTTATGACTACAAGGATACATTCAATAATCAGGAAAGAACAAAATGTTTACTACTTTTACTATTCTCAGGTAAACTTGATTTTTATTCGTTTTAATCATTGGATTGTGGTTGCAGATAAATAAAACCATGATGTGTTTTTTGACTAAAACTCTTCACTTTTAAATCCTGAATGCGCTTCACCGGCTCTCAATACTACATACAAAATCATTTTCACTTTAATGGTTGTGTCCTATTTCACCGTGAGACGTTAAAATTTGTTCCATCTGATTTCGCTTTATGAAAATATCAAGATTATTATGTAAATTATTTTCGTATTCAACCTACAACCCCCTCATGAGATAAAGTTCAAATACCTATTCGTCCAAACATCAAACTTATAGATTCCTGAACCTTCAAAATTATTATATCTGTTTTACTACATAACTTTTAACTGGACCTAGTTAACCTCATTTTATATCATAGACAAATCAAAAAACTATTAATTTGTGGTTTTGTGGAATTTTCCCTTTAAATCACGAAATGAGTCCGTATCCAAAAGTATTGATATCCGACCGCAATCACTTCACGACATTGAGCAACCCTTGTAGTGCCGCAATTCGTTAATCGTTTACTTCGATAACCGTTATAATTCTAATCTTAACGGAGCGTAAAATCAGAAGACAAAGGATAGCAGCAACTACAGTTTATTGTCAAATAACTCAGGTCATAGAGTTAACAACACCTCAGCGAATAATAACGAGCGAGTGAACAGGCGAATAAGCGAAGAAAGCGAACGAGGCGGAAATGACATGCATGGGAGATGGCTGGGAAGCCAACCCGGTTTAAGCAAGCGTTAATCAACATTTATAGTCGTACAAAAATGAGTGACAGACATACGATGAATAAGATACGAAGTGTACACATATATGCTCATATAAAAGTATAGTCAAGGTTAATAAGCAAATGATTAACAAGATCAAAATATGACTCATGACAGGCAATTGGCTTGGCCAGCAACTAGAATAAAGTATATGGGCTTAACATATAAACTGATACTACATAGCCCCCTTGTAGAAAATAGCACATTTATAAAAAAATGTCTGTTTTCGAAAAATGACACTGAAGCGGTATGTAGAAAACGTCAAAATGTTGGAAAAAATGGTACAATACCTGATAAATTACAGTGTCATGTGAGGTGAGCGTATTAAACGAGTGTCATACTTATGTTAAAATGTACATGAATATTGTCAAGATGCGGACAAAAATAGGGATGCTAGCATGTGATTATGAGTAAATTAGTAAGTGTACAAAAAATTTAACATGCATTTATGTTGAGACTGTCCGGACGATAATATAACACGTTCGTATGAGCAATTCGAAATATCGTGAAAATAGAGCATAACAGTAATTGCTCTGTGGTGCTGACTGAATATGACGATAAAGAACAGTGAAATATGTTCTGATAAGCCGAAGTAGAGTAAATAGCGTTGATCAGCGATTAGTAGATTCGAATTCGCATACCTGGAGCTCGTGTGTGGTAAAAATAGTCGAGTCGTAGGATGATGACTGCATCAACGGTTGATATTCATTGCTGTACTGCTACTGATAATGATAATAAAATGCGAAGTCAGTGTGCGTTGTCGCTTGCGTTGAGTTATCGTTAAATATGTATTAGTAGAATGAACAGAGGGACAGGATAGTGACTGCGGAGACGAGATATGCGGAGTCGTATTCCTTTATGGTCATGCAGCCTATCGTGGTTTGTGTAGTTAGAGGGATATGCGCTCAACCTCGTTTGTTACGAAACCGTATTAAGGCATAATAAAAATACCAATACATATGATTATCGATGACGGCAAGTGAGACTGACTTGGATGTGACGAACAAGAGTGTATCTTTGAGAGACCAGCTCTAAACTCTATGTTCTTGTATACCATGCAATGGAAATAGAATACTAATTGCAGTAACCAAATATTTTTGATGCGTAATAGATGATGCAGCATTCAGATTTACATGTCGATGAATAGATAACATGAATATAATCATTACTAATCGGCTGGTAATGCGGCGTCGAATACTTGATTTGTGTATAGACATTAAAGTAGGGATCATCGTGAAACAAAAATTGCGGAAGTTCGGTCTAGGTTGTCGCTGAAAGTGTAGGAGACGACGATTGCTGCGCACCAATGAGATGAATGAACATTAGTTGTATATCGATAACATAAGTTCCTACTATCGGGAGTATGACTCCAAACTTATGTCTATGATAGAGTGTTGTTATGCCTGAAACTAAATCGATTCCGCGGTAACGAACGAAAGCCAATGACACAATGACACGATAAGCTATTCTAATCTGTTGTCCCAGGCCCCGCTAACTAGATGAAGAAGTCCAAGGCAAGTAGGGGAATATATATGTATTCCATAAGCAGCCGAGTACAAGCAATCAAATAAGGGAAAAAGTCAAGCGCATTTATACAACAACAATTTGTCCTTGAGCATCATTGGTAAATAGCACACACAAAGAAACAATGGACCAATAGCGTTTAAGACAGTTTACAAGTGAGAGATATGACGTGAAGGTAAAAAGAGCGCGTTTGGCGCGGAAACAGCTAAATTCAAATTTTCAAAATAAAATTACAAAACTAAGCCATTTACCAAGTAAGTTCTGGGGATTTGACATCCCCAACATGTGTAATATTAGACCGAAAATGACATGAAAAAGAAAAAATTGGAACGAACTCACCTAAATCAGCAAAATTTTACGTCATTGAATAATAAAAATAATCCAGTGAGTTTCAAATATCATAACGTGTAATGTCCATATAATTATAATTTGTTCGATTAGTGATTTGACTGCGTAAATGTCATAGTTTAATGTCAATACGAACAAATATCATAATTCCACGTTAGATGATGATATGACATTATCGTAATAATGAGCATATGATGATTATTAGAATCAAGGAAATATGTCGTCGGCGGATTCATTTTTGATTTGTGTTCACTCGTTGCGGTTGCCAATTATGTAGTGAGTTCGTACGCAGAGGTTGTCGATTCTTGTCCATGTTCGTTCGGCGAGGCAACCAATTATATTGCGTCGTGCTCGTTCGGCGAGGCCTCCAATTCTGTGGCGTCGTGCTCGTACGGCGAGGCATTCAATTCTGTTGTGGCGTAAATCTGATTCCTTTTTGATCGTATGAATGATTGTTTGTTGTCAAAATATACGTACTGTCTATCCTCGTATGTAATAAATGACTTTATTCCGCGTTGGTGAACAACGTAATTAAATACGTCAAATACGAGAATGGATTTAGAATACATATAATCTCTACACTCATTGGTCTGGCCAGGGAATCAGAGTGATGAGGCGAATAGATGAGAACGAAACAAAGCAAAGACCATGCGCAATGGAGATTGGCTGCGAAGCCAACTCGAGAGTGAAGCGAAAGATAATGCGTACTGGAGATGGCTGGGAAGCCAACTCGAGAGCGAGGCGAAAGATGATGCGCATTGGAGATGGCTGGGAAGCCAACCCGGTTTAAGCAAGCGTTAATCAACATTTATAGTCGTACAAAAATGAGTGACAGACATACGATGAATAAGATACGAAGTGTACACATATATGCTCATATAAAAGTATAGTCAAGGTTAATAAGCAAATGATTAACAAGATCAAAATATGACTCATGACAGGCAATTGGCTTGGCCAGCAACTAGAATAAAGTATATGGGCTTAACATATAAACTGATACTACACCCTCATCCACGGCCCGTAAGGAAAAACTGTCTTACACTCGTCACGGATCTAACTACATTGGACATGGTTTATTACTAGAACTCCATAAGTCGGATCTTCAAGATAGTTACCAGTGAGCAGACGGCTTTTATTAGTAGTATAGGGAAGATTTGTGGTTAAGCGTTCGTGCGCGAAACCAAATGTCTTGGGTTCGATACCTAGGTGCGGGTGACCTCTACTGAAGTGTTTCATACTACAAAGAAACTACGGTCCAGTGCCCTCATGTTTCTAAATGGTAGTCTAGCTAAGATCATTTCGTTATTTAAGTTGCTAGAACCAGAAAATGATTATATTATTACTAGTGTGATGGTTGATGTAGCTATGATGAGTATAAATATCCTTTTTATTGATTCAAAAAATATCCCTGAGTTTAATCTAATTTTGATGATTACAAATTACAATAAAGGAAGTGTTCATAAACTACTGGACTCAAGATTCCTATATTGTCGTTAGTCGTGTCTATTTCAAGGTCATGTTCATGCATGATCAATTAATATTCTCGAGGTACTGCGAACTCTTTCGTTAAAAGGAAGCCTAAATGGAATATAATCTTCATTGTAATAACAGCAGTTATAAATTAACATAATTTATTTAAAGACAAAGAGAGTAAGGAAAGAGGAAAAACAACCTATTTATTTATCTTTTATACTGAACCACTATTTACATTGAAAGAGTACAACTGACTTGTTGAAAAAAGCTGTAATCACTATGTATTATTACTGATAAACTTATGCAACAGTATTCTGCTTATCCATCAAATTAATTCAAGTGAACCGCAATTTCAACGGTATATTTTAGTTAATAATTATATTTCGGCGAATAAGCTGATGGAGAGAATGAATTAAATCTTTTGTTTATTTGAGCATTTTTAATCTGAAACCCACTGATTTACTGTCTTTTTATGATTAATATATCTGACGTCTTGAATAATACAGTAAACAATACACTTTATATATATCATAACTTCTTGTTTGAATCTGAATAATGGTGCTTGAACAAATTTAACAATTTCAATAATATAGCTACGAATCCCATATAAAGCAAAGTGTATAGCATTGCGTTTTCAGTCCATTGTGTAAAATCATTCCATGTTATTTCCGAAATGGATTCATTTTGTGTAAAAGTTAAATTTGATTCACATAATCGTACCTGAGGTGAAGTAAAATGTAAAAATATATAAACAATTGTTTAATGTTAGATACTTCCGACAATCGTCAAGAAACACCAGAAATAAGTTTTGTAGTAGTTACCATTAATTGCACAGGTAGGCGTTTTCTACATATTACATGTATTATTGACTTATCGTTGTATTTTAATAGCCTGACAGGGAATAATCATATAAAAAAGAATGTATTTTAAGAAGTAAAGTGAACTACCTGTTCCAATTCGCCCACGCAATCCTCTTCATTTTCAGATAAACACAAACGTATCCTTGTACTCATTCCAGTAGATCCAGAATCCTGTTCACAAAATGTCCATTCTGACCAATCTGACCAAATACCTTTAGGTATATCACATTTTTCGCCGCCATATCCTTCTTCACAATCACAGACACTGTAAGTAAGATCCTTTCAGAAAATATTAATTCATTACTGCATTGAATAATCAAATTATGATCTGAACACAATAAAAGATCTATAACTTCAAACAATTTTATTTTAAAATCATGAACTAAACTTCTTTTCTCAGTTGGAAAAGTTTAACAAGTCTATTATCAAAATAAACTTGTCTTCAACCGATGAAATTCTGAGCTGCCCAAAAAAGAGGAAATAATATGTTCAGTTAGTTGATTTTATTATGATATATTCTGTAATGACTCGAGAAAAAAAAACAATAATATCCCAGTGGTATTAGTTGAATTATATCTTGATTATTGCTACCGGTACGACTATTTACTATGACTGCAGAATAATCGCTACCTTCTACTTGTTGCAACGGAACAAAGCTGTTATATCGATGAAAAGAAGTAAACATAATATTGATGAAGACTGCTTTATTCAGTAACCACTAATTAAATGAAACCCAGAATAATAATAGTAATAGTAATTGTACATAATTTTAAATGTTTAGTCAATAAATGAAACTGAATGAATTGAACTAGGAGTTAATAAATAATTTTATTTGTGTATATAATTCGTAAAATAAACTTACTTGGGAAATATACCTCATTCCTGAACTGTATATTTGTTTCCTTTTGAACACAGCCCTAATGAACCACCTTATATTATGCGTGTAGTTTTATGTAAAACTGCAACTAAGCTTCAAGGAATCAGTGTCAACGAATTTATTATAAATCCCTATCTGTTTACTAATAAATTAAATACCATTAATAAGATTTATTATAATATCGTTTAACTATTTATGTAAGATGAAAATCTGAGAGTCCGTTTATTGGTAAACAAAGTCAGAAACTTATTGAACGTGAATACTTTTTACAAACTTATTGGTAATAAGTGAAATATTGTCTAAATTACTACAGGCAAAATGCAGAATAACTCACCTGAGTCACAGACAATGTCGGCACAATGAGAAGAAGCACATAGTTCTGTGACCTTTATTTATAATTATTAGGTATATGCTATTTGGCAAGTAACAAATAATCAGAGTATATTGGTTGAATATTTTGCGTATAATTGAAAATTTTATTTTCGTGGCTCATATTAAGCTTTGAGGAAGGAGTTATTTACCCTAAAAATCTATTCCCTTGAGATTTAGGGCTCAGATTCGAGAAGAATGAACCAATTCTACCATCTTATTGTGAATATAATTTGACCAGGATTCGTTTAAGTAATCTTCAAATCAATCGACCTGTCATACAGTTTATGTAGGATTTAAGATAAATTATCACTTCGGTCCCTCCTCTAAATAACTAAAGGAGCTATAAACCTGGTTTTTGTAATGAATTGATATTGAGAATCAATTCAAACATACTCAAGAATGTGATAGGATATCTTCCATATTCTCATCATGTTTATTTTAAAAAATTCCTTTCAAATCTCAGTGTCAATTTTACAGTAAACGTGGTTGGACACTTTGAATCTCTTCAACAGAGACTAATTGGGAAAGTATTCAGTGTATTTTATTTATTCGGTAAATAAATAAGATAGTTTTCAAAATAAAATCCCTTTGATTATAATCTGTTCTCATAACCAATAGCCTCATAGCCATATTTCATATATGAAAACATCTGTCCACAATAGTTTATTAGATTCTCTAGAAATACCGTCTCAAGATTATAGTTAGTCAACTTATTTTAGATCAAACAACGAACCATGGAATATCATAAGCAAAGGTTTTTCGTTTAAATAATAACGATTACGGTTTCTTCAATAAACAGTACTCTGTCATTAGATATGACACTAAGTTATGTTTATCCCAAAAGGCATCAACAAAACAGCATAAAATTACAGTAGACTGTGATAATCATATTTTCAACTTCTTTCATGAAAAAGCTTTGGTTGTTTCCATTTAAACCATAAGTTATATGTTCTACAACAGCATACGATCCAGTTGGGATTAAATAATTTATCTTAAGAATGATTAGTCTTTCAGTAAAAGTGAAAACACAAAGCTGAAGCATTTGCTGTAATCAATGTCATCTTGAATGTTAATTCATAAAACTAGTTACTTAAGCTTCTAATCCGTATAAAGTCATCTTTTGCCAATAACGAACCGATAGAAGAGTGTTTATTGATTACTATATACTGTGTTTGAAGCAGTAGCCATGGTTATCAGATGTATTTAATACTTTGAACAACGTTGGCTGTTTGCATTTGAGAGGAAATTCAAAGCATTACTAAATCAAGTTAGCTTTTTCGGCAAAAACGATGAAAGTACTTAGAAACGATTAGAGTAGTTAAAAATGTTCACAAAATAATTCTTCACCAAATATTTTCAGGAATGAGGTTGTACGTTTCGTAGGATTTCACTACCACAGAATATGAGATAAGATTATCAAAATTTAGTCACCATTGATTCCGAAGTATTTTAATTATTTTTATCGGCGCTTTTGTAAAACGAGGTTAATGTCTTCACTAACTTTTGGATTGATTACATGATTTAACTCATTATGTTCAACTTTATATTTAATTTTAAATACTATGGAAATGTATACAACATTTCTTGCAATTTTAGTTAGAAAATGGTCACAGCGAGAGTCATCCTACTACTAGCTTTAATCGGCTTCTTAAATTATCTAGGCTGTGTATTTGAGTCAAGAGGTAATTAAGTTGAAACCAATTGCTGATTTAAATAGGAATAATATATTTGTAAAATCTCAGCGAATGAATTTGTAGTAAATCCAACGTTTCGCCTAGCAATCTGGTCCAAGCTTTTTCAAGGAATTATAATCAAACATCAAAATTATCGAATATAAAAAGGTACATGGTTCTCGAGTTCATTATACACTGAATAGGTCATCCAATCAAAGTTAACAAAAAGTCTAAACTAGGTATGTTTAAGAGATAAGTGATTTGAAGTAATGGGTGTTCATATAACATATTGTATAGAAAAACGTAAGAGGTGAGAGGAGAAAATTACATTCACATTAGATATTGTCTCTTATCAATGAATTTATAAGGAAACATACAATTTGTAATATATGTGATATGAATCATATCTGTCTCAGTATGTATAACATGATGATAATTAAACAAAATAAAAATATAAAGGTGAAATTTGAAGATCGTAATTTTTGACTGTATGTATGTGTCATTTTTAATGTTACAATGAATCGTTTAACAAATTCCGATAAGACAACAGATTAGAATCATTGAGTGTAATTGAGTTCACTTAGTATTGTTTGTTTGGATCTTCCCATCGATGTGTTTAGGACTGCAACTGGTCAGTCTCTAATTGGCATATGTGCATACTGTGCGTATTGCCTCGATATACCTTAATTCACAAGCATGGTAAGCAGAGATGGATAGTGGCTAACAGTGGAATCCAGGATGCGCGTTTCGTCCTATTGCAGTCCTAAACACATCGATGGGAAGATCCAAACAAACAATACTAAGTGAATTCAAACTTCACCCCATCGCACAAGCAAGTGGCTATCAGGACTCAGTGGCCGAGTGGATAACGCGATGGCGTTTGAAGCGAGGGTACTGGGTTCGAGTCCCAGAGTGAACATCAACTCTGAGATGCAGGTACATCCAGCTGACGAGTCCCAAATAGGACGAAACGCGCGTCCTGGATTCCACTGCTAGCCACTATCCATCTCTGCTTACCATGATTGAGTGTAATTGTTGTCATTTTAGATAATACGAATTCGATAAAAACATTAAGGAGTTCAGGTTGTTACTTATTAATGATTAGTTGCCATGGCACTGCTAATTGTATTCCATCCCTCCTATTAATATTGTTTGGATTAGCCCAAATGTATAGGGCTTCAGCTGTTTGTCTCTCCTTGTAAGAATTAAAAGCTTTTTGAAGGATTCTTGTGCCATCGAAATCAATTGTATGACCTGATTCTATCGAATGTAATGCTATCGCTGATTTGTTCTCTAATTTCCTTACATCATCTGAGGATTTAGGAATATGTTTCAAACATTGTTTGTGTTCCTTCACCCTCACATTCAGTTGTCTTGATGTTTCACCTACATACGTTGCATTACAGTCACTACATTTGATTTCATAGACACAATTTTGTTGTTCTTCTTTATGTATTGGATCTTTAATTCTTACTAATTTTGATTTTAGAGTATTGTTTGTTCGAAAAAATACTCTTATATTTAGATTATTTAAGATTCTTCGAATATCTTCCCAAATTCCTTTCCGATATGGGATCACTACTGTGTTAACCCATTCCTTTTACTGCAATCTTTTTGTATTAACAATATCGTCTTTTCTTTCATTCTTAATTATTCTTTTAATAAAATCTTTTGGATAATTGCTGATTCTTTTAAATATACTTATTGAGCCAGCTGAAAAAGGTAAACAGATTGGATCAGTTTTATACTAATCAAATTTTAAGCTAATACATTTATTAATAATCCAAGAAATCATGATTTTTGTGGTGTTGCATTCTCTAAGCTGGATGATTTAATTTTGAGGACTCAGGTAGAATTTAGATTCTCTAATTTCCCAACATAATACTAACCTGATCTTGACTGGGCCTTGATTGACCTTGAACTTGTTCGTATACTTATTTTGAAAGTCTCTCACCTTACACCTGATTCTCGTTTCCATATTTGTCCAGGATTTTTCCAATTAGTCGGTAAATCGCACTCACTGAGGTGTGCTTATTGATTACTAATTGACCTGAGTGACAATTTTACAAACAATCTCTAATTTTCTTTGTATTCCCTCTATTCAAATTCTCGGCTTTTCCTCAGTCAAACGTTTTTGCATAATTATCGATGTTCATTAAAAAGCTAGAGACACACCATAGCGCTTGTCAAATAGTTAGTGTTCATTCAGATGAAAATGAAGAGGGCTACCACTTCGTTCGAAGTAACGTTTCAGTTGAAACAGTTCTTTTTATAGATGGTGTTTAGCTTTACTTCTTTCATCATTCTTTCATCCTTCGATTTTCACCAGATTAATTGAGATGATTTTTCTGGTTTTT